TGGAAAGGGCAAGTTCTCAGTAACACAGCCACCTTTGGACCCTCTACCTCTGTGAACACCCTGTAGACCCTTCCTTTAAAAAAATAGGAAAAAAAAAATAAGAGCTGATCAAGGGAAAAGACAGTGGCTCCTTGGCTGAGAAATTATTCCCTTGAGGGTCAGAGTGCCCTGCTTATGAGGGCCATTCGGCAGGTGAGTGAGCACAATGGGGGACAGAAACTCCATCCTGCAGAGCACAATCCAGATGACATAGGATCGGCTTATTTCTGCTGAAGTACAAAACGCAAAGAACATTTAGGTGTTAAGTGTTTAGCCATTGCAAACACATTTTTCAGCATTTTAAAACTTCTTAGCCAGGCATGGTGGTGCATACCTATAATGCCAGCACTCAGGAGGTTGACACAGGAGGATCATTGCAAGTTTGAGACCAGCCTTGGGCTACAAAGTGAGCTCAAAGCCAGTCTGGACTGTGTAGTGAGACCCTGTCTCAAAAAGGCAAAAAGAAAAAAAAAACCTCAAATATTCGTGGATTTCCAGGGTCAGTCAGGCAACAGGCATGGAAACCGGGGAAGGAGACAAGCTAAAAAAGCTGCATCCACGGACCTTGGAGCAGGAGAAGCAGGTATGTCTGTCCTGAGGCAACTAGATGTGAGTGTCAACTGGTAAGTCCCTTTGAAGATAGACCACACCATGAAAATAGGTTTTCCACTTCATAGTGTCCTGCAAGAAAAAGTCCCAGGAAATCATGCTATCTTCAGTTTATGATTCTTGAACATGTTCTTTTGACTATTTGAACATGTATATTAAGGTGCAGGTGGTTTTAGGAGTGATGAAAGGGCTTCAAGGAATGGAGGTGACAGAGGAAATTAATTAAACACCCTTTCTTTATAAGAGGTTGACCTTAATCCCATTAGGAAACCATCTGAATGAATGTATTGCCTCTCTGGTAAAGTTCCTTCATGTTTATACTTCTAACTTCTATTCAGCAGCCTTGGGTGCCTAGGCAATTAGTGTCCTTGACAATGGTAACAAAAATATCAGCTCTAGATCACCTAGTTTGGGCGGGGGAGATAGCTCAGCAGAATAAGTACTTGCCTAGCAAACACAAGGTCCTGAGTTCAATCCCCAGTTCTACAAAAAAAAAAAAAAAAAAGATCACCTCGTTTCGAGAAGCTGCTATTCAGTGGTTCATTTTATGGATGCATCTATCAGTGAAAGTGGTATTAGTCTACACTCCTGGCCTACGTAGCAATGATTTAAAAGACTATAACTATTAAAATTTTGTGGTTTTTTTATTTTTTTCAGAAAATTCTGTTCTGTTTCTCAGACTGTTTGGGTCCGCATACATTTTACCCAACTTTCTTGGCAACAGTGATGTATTAACTCTACATTTTTTCCATTCTAGTCACTGGGAAAGTCTTGGAAATTACTGAACTACCAGATGGAATAACTCGCATGGAAGCTGAAAAGCTTTTTGGGGAACTCTTCAAAATTGGTGCCAAGATCCGATGGCTCCGGGACCCCCAGTCGCAGCCGCAGCTGCGTTGTCACGCCCTCTGCTGTGGCAGTGGGGACAGCACTGTCAACCCTGAACGTTCTAAGCCCAATGACTTGGCCTCTACGTACACTGTCTTAGCCACATTCCCCTCCATTTCAGCTGCACAAAATGCACTGAAGAAACAAATCAACTCAGTTAACAAGTTTAAGCTGAGAACAAGCAAGAAGCACTATGACTTTCACATTTTGGAAAGGGCAAGTTCTCAGTAACACAGCCACCTTTGGACCCTTTACCTCTATGATTGTCCTGCCCTCTCCCTTCTCTGGTTGGCTTGGTATGTGGAGCTTCTGTTAACATTTAGAGACTCCTAAGATATGTGGTCCTGAGCTAGAGCTGTTGGTAAAAGGCCAGTGATCCAGTGCAAAGGGGGAAAAAGAGATACACGTTTTATCCTGATTATAGGAATCCACACCAGAATGACACAGAATTAGCAGCTTTTTCTAAGGAAATGCTGTTCAAATGCCTCCTAACTTTTATAGTTATTTTGTTTTATATTTCTGAATTCTTGTATCAGATCCAAAGCTCTATTGTACAGCAAATTATTCTTCAAAATTACTATAACCAGTTTCGACCTGTATTTCTTTTTGTAGCCAGCACGGTGTGAGCCAACTTAGGATTTGGGGGAAAAAGAATGCAGGCGTGGAATAACCAAGTCAAAAACCATGTACGTTCTTTTGGAGGGCTGAGGACACTAAATGCCCACAAATGGAATATGACTCTTCCCCTGAATCTCTAAACATAGAAACATTTTCCAGAAAATAAGAAACTCCCCTGTAGCGTCCTTTCCTTATTCATTTAGATAGTATGAATGTTAAGTGTAAAGTAAATTATGTTCTTAATGCTCTTAATCAAACCACTTAAATTCAAAGGGGAATAGGAATCATCCAAGTCAGGTAAACACTCACTTTTTTTTAAGTGTCCCTCCAATAACTTTCAATTGCCACTTTCAATTCCCCTCCTTGTGGATTTTTTGTCACCTAAGAAAATAATATTTGATGAGTGCTGGAGACTTCTTAAGTGGTTTAGAATTGTTTCCATTGTTTGCAGATTCCTGGACATCAAAGATTCATTGCACTTATGAACAAAGAACCTTTTCAATTTCTGTGTAATTTGCAAGGCTGTACAATGTGTACTGATGCAAGCCTTTTTCAGTTCAAGAGAATAAATGTTTACAAATTTAGGCCTAGCTTGTCTTTGTTCTCATGAAAAACACCTTTATAATCAGCAGCTAGCATAGTACATTATGTTTGGTTAGACAATTTGTTTTTATTTTACACATTTCACACAGGTTGTCCGGTTTAGCTCAAATGAATCCTAGATAACTGTCCCCATTGCCAGCCAAACAGATTCACCCTGGTGGAACATCTAAAAGGTGTAAACTGCCAGCTGCAACTTCCCTTTAGTGTAATTTGCTCCATGCCAGACTCTGCTACTGTGAAACTGAAGAACATCAGGAGCTCTCAGGCTGTAGTACAGACTTGCACTATAGAGTGTTTGCAAAGTCTCCTGTGGTCCCAGTGAATGCCAGCACTCCCTACAAACAGGCATATCCCAGTTATGAGTCTTGTACTTTTGAGATCCGAAGTTAGAGCTGCCTAAGAACCTCCTCAAATTAAGGAGTCTGCAATATTGGTCAGCTTTTTGCTGGGGCCAAGTAGCAGATAACCCCAAATGATTTGGCTTACAGTCTCATTGTATGCTGCTCTGGCTGTAAGGCAGGAACATCATGGCAGAGAAAAGTTGCTTACATCATGGTGGCTGGGAAGCAGAGCAGGGGAACAGTGCCAGAGAAGAAAGCCAGGGATAAGACTACCCAAGTTCATGCCCCCGTGACCCACCCAGACACACTAAGTATGCTTTACTAATCTAGATGCTTCTGAAAACAAAGTGACAATCTTAACTGCTGCATTTTAACCCTTGCCAGCATAATCCCCAAATACATCCCCTTAAAACTGCTTTAGCTCCAAATAAACACAAGGTCATAATTCTGCTTAATATCTGTGATCCTGCATACAACTGAAATTTTACTTCTCCAAAGTCTCAGCAGTTGTAACATTGCTCAAAAGTCGAAAATCTCTTCTGAGTCAAACAAACTTGAATCTCAAACTCTTAGCTATAAAGCCTGAAAAATCAAAATGCAGGTTATAGAATCCCAAAACCAGTGTTACACGGTAAGATTCCTATTCCAAAAGGTAGAAATAAAGGGTAGAATGGAATAGTATTGGGGCTGGGTGTAGTGGCGCACACTTGTAATCCCAGCACTCAGGAGGCTGACACAGGAGGATCCTTGTGAGTTCAAGACCAGCCTGGGCTACACTGAACTGCATAGTGAAACCCTGTTTCAAAAAGACAAAAAACAAGAAAAATAAGACTAAAGCAAAATTGAAATCCCTCAGAGCAAACATAAGGTCCTGTAACTCCATATTTAGCATCCAGGCCACATGGTGATAAGATGTGAGCTCCAGAAGTTTAGGCATCCCCATCCCTGTGGTCTCACTGGCTTTAGCCCACATTGTTTCTCTGAGGCTGATTCCACTCAGCCTGCAGCTTTTCTCAACAGATCTGTGTTCCTGGTACCACCAATTTGCTTGAGTCTCTACTACACCTTTAGCTTCATCTACAGCTTCACACACCCACATCTCAGGAGCATACTGCTTGATCTCCCAAGGCTTCCTCTGAAATCTAGATGAAGCCTTAATCTCACAATTTACACCTGCATGCTGCCTGAGCAACCAGTACTATAGGGACACCACGAGCTAGAGCAATAGCCGGACTCCCTTGAACAATGGTTGCAGCCACCTCTGAGTGCCTGGATAGCTGAGCATGATGAAATGGTTCCCAAGAAATCAGTTTCCTAGATGGCCTTCCTCAAGTAGGGAGTCCAGGAGTTCTCAAGTAAAATGTTTATACTTTGGCATTCGTCATCTGCAATGGGTGTTCAGATCTTGCTCATTCTTGAGATTCCTTCAAGGCATCTTTCTTCTTAGCCTTAAAGTGTTTGGTTTCTTTTTAATGGCACTAATCACTTTAGCAGCCATGTCTCCTTTGATCTCCCAACTTCACACCTTTTGTTTTGTTTTGTTTTGTTCTGAGACAGGGTTTCACTGTGCAGTTCAGGCTGTCCTTGAGCTAGCTCACCTTGTAACCCAAGCTGGTCTCCAATGATTCTCCTGCCTCAGCCTTCTGAGTGGTGTGATTACAGGCATTTGCTACCATGCCTGGCTCACATAGTTTTTTTTTTTTTTTTTTTTTTTTTTCAGAGCCAGGGATTGAACTCGGGCCCTTGCACTTGCCAGGGAAGCACTTATATTCCACTGAGCCATCTCCCTGGCCCCCCTCTCATCTTTTTGAGACAGGGTCTCCACATGTAGTTCAGGCTGACATTGAACTGACTTTGTAGCTCAGGTTGGCCTCAAACTCACAATGATCCTCTGGCCTTAGCCTTCTGAGTTCTGGGATTATAGGTGTGTGCCAGGATGCCAGGCTGTCTTCTGACTTCTAGAGCATTTGGTCTTAAGACACACTTCCACAGCACTGTAGAGTACCCTTCCCATGGCCTTCAATATTGAATCACTCACAGGTACTCATTCAAGCCTGCCCTTACTGGCTTGGATAGTTGCAAAGGCAGAGCACTTTTCTGACTGTCTCACCTCATCAGTACTAAGTACAACTGCTAATTCCTAGTGGATTTTCATAAGCGAGTGAATGAATGCATGGCTATAGGTGTTTCTGATTTTTGTTTTTTGATTTTAGAATATTTGATTCTAACTATGTTGACTGAATTTTTTTTTTTACTACTTTTTATTTTCAGTAATGAAAATTGAATGCTGGGCTTTTCCACTAAGTTACATGTTTAGCCCTGTCTTGTTTTGACACAGTTTTGCTAGGTTCCCTAGGTTGGCCTTGTGTTTGTGATCTTCCTACCTCAGCCTTCAAAACAAGCACTGTCATACCCAGCTTACTAAAATTTATTTTTAACTGGTATATAAAAAAACACATTCCGATTTGATTTGAAACTGTCTCATTGCTGTTTATCAATAAAATTTTGGAAAAAAAAACAACATAAAAATTGTGCAAATTGGGCCAGCCAAATAGCTCAGCAGATTAAAATGCTTGCCAAGTAAGCGCAGGGGCCAGTGGTTCAATCCCCAGGCCTGCAGTGCCTGCGCCACCCCTGGGGCACACTGAGACCACAGTTGAGACTGGGCACATGGTGATGCATGCCTGTAATCACAGCTCTTGGGAGGCTGTAAACAGGTGGATCACGATAAGTCCCATCTAGCAGTGAGACCCTGAACACCCTATAGACCCTTCTCTAAAATAAAAATAAATAAAAATTGTGCAAATTGGGTGACATATAAAGTTTCAATGGGGGCCAGGGAGATAGCTCAGTAGAATAGGCACTTGCCTGGCAAGCAAAAAGTCCTGAGTTCAATCCCTGGTACCACAAAAAAAAAAAGGCCAGGGAGATGGCTTAGTGGAATAAGTGCTTCCCTGGTAAGCACAAGGGTCTGAGTTCAATCCCCAGTTCCACCAAAAAACTAAAGTTTCAATGCATGTATATATTGTATAGTGTTTAGATTAAATCTCATTTCTTTATGATGAAAAGCACTTAAAAGTCCTAGCAATTCAAGTTTTAAGAATGCTATTTATGAGCTAGGGAGATAGCTCAGTGGACTAAGCGCTTGCCTGGCAAATGCAGGGTCCTGAGTTCAATCCCAGTTCCACACACACACAAAAAAAAATACAATTTATTTATTTAGTTACTTATTGAGACAGGGTCTAACTATGCAGTTTGTAGGGATCCACTTGTCTTTCAGAGCGATCCATTGTACCCGGAAAGAAAAGGCAGCAGGAATGAGGAAAAGATAGAGAAGACGAGAGCTGGGTCAGGTGGTGGCCCATCTACCTGGCTGGTGAGACAAGCCCCAGCAGCACAGTAGGGGTATTTATTTATACCTTTGTAAAATCAGTAAAACATGACACAAGATTGCCTAGTGACTAATAGCTGACATTAACCAGTCAGGATGCTTATCTCCAGACTGAGGTAGCTTGACTGCTTAAGCACTGAGGCCTACTCCTGCTTTCGTACATGGACCAATTTCCAGCTTCCATGGTTCCCAACATATCCCCCTTTTTTGTT